ATATGAAAAGACTGTGAGGGCCCTGAAGATGGGGTGTGTGCATTGGGCAGAATTCTAGTCTGAAGCTTAATCTGAAAAGGAAGGAGGGTGGGGGGTGGCTTGGACACCCATGCCTCTATCCATCGGGGAGCAATCTGGGTCCCACTAACACCCTTCCTCTCTTTCCTGTCTCCATGTGCACACCCAGCCGACCTCTGTGAGGGGAACAGGTGGTGGGTGAATGCCTGAATGACCATGGCTGAGCGCTCCTGCGGGTTAGGGGACAAAGCAGTTGCCATGCAAGAGTTCAAATCCCCCAGGTCCGACTGCAGTGTCTCCCATGAACAGGTCTATTTAAGACGTGATTTGGAACGTGACAATGACATTCAGCGTGTATGCCACCTCCTTTCTTACTACTAGCAGCCTTACCCCGCTCCGCCCTAGATTTTTCCACCTACGCTATTGCCACTTGGTAAAGAGGGAAGCTCAAAGCACACGCTGGTGTGCCCAAATTCTCATTAATTCCTCCCTGTGATTTGGGGAGAAATCGAGGTTACTTTAGTAGCAGCTTCTGAGTAAAAGTAGCCTCTTAGAGAACAAACAACCCTCCTGTTTCCGAAACTCCTCCCTGGACACTTATTTGCCAGAGAGAAGTCAACATGCCTTATGGCTGGGATCTAACAGGGTCTAAAGGGATGGTCAGGGACACATGTGGCACGTGTTGGTCTTTCGCCTAGCACAAGCCAAGACTGGACCTTCTGGGCCAAAGTGGGTCTTCCGAGGGCAACATTCAGATTTTTGCTTTATCCCTGCAATGGGTGTATGGTTCTCCTTCCCCAAATGGACATCTAGGCTTGGATGGCAAATTGCCCATTGAGGGGTCCAATTCCCCCCCGGACCTTGTGTCTCCCTTCTGATACTGAACAGTATGGGTAGTGCAATCCCCAGCCGGGAGGCATTCCTGCAGGCAAACAGGCAGCCATTCTCAGAGTGTCCTGACCTTTGCACATGGTTTTTATTTTCCCTCACCACCACGAAGGCAATGTCACCCTCCACATTGGCAGGTGCTTTGGCCCTGTGCTGATGTAGAGGCCCCACTCTTGCCTCGGCCTAGGTCACACGCACTGATCTTCTTATACCTTGCTATAGAGCGAATGTTTGTGTCCCTTCCAAAATTCACATGTTGGAATCCTAACCCCTGACGCGATCATGTTAGGAGGTGGGGCTTTGAAGGTGATTAGGCATCTATGAACTAGGACATGGGACCCTCGCGGGACACCCCAAATCTGCCAGAGCCTTGATCTTGGACCTTCTAGACTCCAGAACGGTAGAAATAAATGTTTGTTATTTAAGCCTCAGTCTTTATTATTTTTGGTATAGCAGCCTGGACAGACTAAGACGTAGCTGGTTAATCATGGGCCGGCCACTGAGCCAGACATGGGAGAAGCTCCCACACATACCAGGACTGCATTGCCTTTCACAAGTGAACATATTGCTTCTTGTTCTCTTATTTTTCTTTTGATGTTTATTTATTTTTGAGAGAGAGAGAGCGAGCGAGCAGGGGAGTGGCAGAGAGAGAGGGAGACACAGAATCTGAAGCAGGTTCCAGGCTCTGAGGTGTCAGCACAGAGCCCGCCGCCGGGCTCGAACTCACGCATCATGAGATCATGACCTGAGCCGAAGTTGAACGCTTAACAGACCGAGCCACTCAGATGCCCCTAAAGTGGATATTATAAAAGATGCTCATTATTTAGGTAATGCAGAGTCTGAATATTTAACATTAAAGCAGGTGTGACGATTATTTGGGGAGAGGGAATGAATGATCGGAGAACCCACACTGCTTAGGTTCCCTGCTCTGCACTTTGCCTACAGGCTCAGCCCTGACTCCTGGTCTGGCTCTCCTCAATCCGGTGCCCTCCCCACCTGTGCCCACATTCTCACCTCAACACTGGGCTGGATACGGACGCTGCATTTTTAGACTGATGAGAACAAGAGGACAAGTTTGCTTAAACCGGCAGTCACTTTGAATGGGAAACCAGTGGCCATCTATTTAAAATGGGAAAGAGTGCTCTGTAAGATCAAATCCACTTTATTGGATGAATTTTTAGCTGTGCAATGGTGTTCTCTTTAATAAGAAGATTGACAAATCTTACACAGGGGGAAAGAGATTTGACACAGCAGTTTAAGGAGATGTTGTTAGCAAAAAACAAGCCGAGCAGAATTAAGTGGCTTCTTCCAGAAAGCAATAATTCCCCGTCTAGTCTCTTTTCACAGCTCATTAATTCTCTAGGCATCAGAAAAAGGTGTCTCCCAATTATCCTGCCACAGGAGAACGATGCTGGTGGATGGAAGCGGACGGTCTACAGCACAGCACAGAAAAGTGGTGATCTGAAGAGGTGGGATGCTCCTGTTGCCGTGGCCACAGCTCAGGAGTCGCCCTGGAGGGGGGTGAGGCGCACCATGATGGCCTCTCCGTGTTTGGGAGGGCTTGGCTCAGAGGCCCCTGCCTATCATTATCTGCGGCCTTGAGCAAACTAATTAACCTTGTCAGCACCTCACTTGTCTCATTGGTAACAAGGGGTTACTAAGAGCTTCTCTGCAGTGTTTGCAAATGAAGTGCGATCATCCGGGTGAAGTGCCTCATCCACTGGGCGCGTAGTAGGTGCTCAGTAAATGGTGTATGTGCAGAGATGCGTTCAGGGCATATTCTTAGAAGACAACAGGCAGATGGTTTGTGTGTGTGTGTTGTTTTGTTTTTGCTTTTGGCAATTTCAGTACAAAAATTTCAAGTTTCTGTGGCTCTCAACTCACACGAGACACATGGTTGAGGCAGGCTGGAAAGCAGGGCGCGGGATAAATAAGGTGAAACTAGGTGCCCAGTTGCTATAGGTGGTGAGCAAGGAGGGCTCTTGCCAGGCAAGACAAGGGCTTCTTCACCTCCAGCCAGGTCAACTGCCCAGGCCAGGATCTCAAGACAGCGGAAGGGAATGACAGGAAGTGGGCTTTGACTGCACAAGGGTGGCATCTGCAGGGAACGGTCACGGGCAACACCCATTCTACCTGGCCGGAGAACAGGGTCAATGGGCAATGCTGTCCACACCTATCAGGTGTCAGATTCATGGGGAGAGGAGAATTAGTGGGAACGTAGCGTCCTCTGAGTTCTCAGGGGCTCCTCCCTTATAAGGGGTGATTTCAGAAAGGAAGGTCATGGAAGCTAAGGCAAGAAGTTAGCTCCCAATGCCTCAGGGTCTGACCTGTGGGATACCGCTCTGCGATTTGGGAGGTGCTGAGGCCTATGGGAATGACCAGTGGGCGTGCCTGACAAACCGGCTTAACTCAGCTGTGTGGCCCTTCAGAAGTGATGGGCGGGCTCGGAGCCGTGTAGCTAAGGGCTGTGATCCACACATGGCTGGTGTGCAGGTGCAACGTTTATAAAGTGATCCACCGAAGGTCCGGCCCCCACCAGACTCGACATTTAGTAAGTGCACGCTTACACGAGAACTTCCAGAAAATGATTTGAAGAATGTTTCTTAGGCATACCGAGTGGTCACGAAGAAGGATTTCCTTGAGATATGAAGGGCAGTCAGTCTTCCTGCAATTGAATCTTCATGAGAGAAGGCAGCGAATATGCACACTGGGATTGGTATCTGACTAATCGGGGAGCTTTGGAAGAGGACTGCATTGATCTCATTGGCTTCTGCAGCCTCCACGGCTTCTGTAGTTGGCTGAGACATGATACGGCCCTGGGTTCATGGAGGCCACGGCAGAGTTAGCCAGCTGGAGACTGGCTCACTCGGCCCGGTGGGGGAGGTTTTAGAATTGGAGATGGAGGCAGGTGTGAAGCGGGCCCCTCCAGTCCAGCTGCAGCGTTAGCTTCACCTGCGGTGCCCCCCTTCTTAGCTGCCTCACCGAGGGCTCTAACACGCAGGCACTGATGGGTATTGACTAAGGCCAGTTTTAGGTCTGGCGAGGGGGGTTGAGGAAATAGCCCCGCTGTGCAAGCCCTGGACCTGACAGGCCTGGGGTGAGGCCTGGAGCCCACCCGAGAGTCAAGACATCCCATCTTAGTAACGGATTGCATGCCTTAGATTCCTGATAGCATGCAGTTCCCCGCTGGGGTGCTTCCCCTTTCCGTGGGGGCAGGATTCTAGTGCATTCCCCCATTCCCTCCAATACCTGCCTCACCACAGAAAAATGCTTGGAACCGGGATTCGGCGCCATGCCCCTGGCAGGGAGACCCCCCCCCCCGGCCGCCCCCAACGCCTTGCCGGCCCTGTCCCTGTGCCTGCTCTCAAGATGGAGTCCACATACCCAAGCACAAGAATCCCCTTCCTCTGAGTATTGCGGCCCCACAAGAGGCAGTTCCCCATCCAGGCTGCCTGCCTCCTCTTCGCACACCAGCCCAGCCTGAGGGGGTGTGGGCCTGAGAGCCCAGAAGTCGTTCCCTTTGCTCCGCCTTAACTTTCTGCCTCACCATGGCGCTCCTCTCTCTTCCAGGGAAGGTGCCTCAGAGCGGGCAGGAACGTGCTTCCATTCTCAAAGGGCAGCTGAGGGCTGTGAAAATCATAATTCTGCAGCCAGGGAGCATTTGAAATCTCTCTCCAGGTCCAGGGCAGCCTCTCAGGAGCCTGTCTGCCTCGACACGTGTCAGCTGTGCTTCATGGACCTGACCATCTGCCCCGTCTGCCCGCCCTCTTCCTGTGCCGCTAAACTGGAAAAGAAAACCTCCGGAAGTTGTCCTTTTGAAGGCCCTTCTCTGCTGTTTTCTCTCTTCAGGTTCCCCGGCTCCCCGATTCTCCCACTGGTTGCCCTCGCCCCACGTTTCCTTCCCTTCCCGTCTGCCCCCTGGGCCTCATTCCTGCTCTCTGGGCCCAGCCTACGGGGAGGAGGCCCAGGGGCTTCTCAGCTGGGCTGGAAGGTGAGGCCTCCTGGGTTCCCCCTCTTTGTGCTTCACAACTGCCTCCCCTCAGGTAAGGGCGCTGAGCCCGAGGTCAGAGTGTCTTGGCAGTGATTGGCGCTGATTCTCATTTTAAAATTTTAATTGCTTGCCTCTCTGGTTTTCCTCCCCCCTCCTGGTTTCAGTCCTGACTGGCTCATCTTGTGCTGGAAACTCCACTCTCTCCCTGGATCTCACCACAGGCTGAGACCGTGAAAGAAAACTACAGCGAAGGTGATAGGTACTTTGTGATTCTTGGGCCAAAAGTGCGAGAAAAGAACCAGCCACTGGGTTCTGCCTTGGGCGGGAGCTGTGGGGCACAGTACGATGGGGAATGGCCAGGAAGTGGCCCGTGACAGCTGTACATGAGCTCGTGGGTGCGCTGGGTGGCCCAGGCCAGCTTCTGAGAGTTACTTCCAGGAGACCAGGTATCTGGGAGGCTACATGTGACACGCAGAACACAGCAGAGGAAACACAGAGGAGGACAGAACATCAAGGACCTTGTCCTCTGTAGCTCTCAGAAGGTGGACACTGCTCTGGGAGTTGGGAGGAATCGCCTGCGTGATGTGGATTGACCTTAACCCATGAGGTCTGTGAGCCTAGCCCACGACCAGGGGTGTGAGCTTCCAGGGGGGCAGAATCTCCCCGCCCAGAATCCACAACAAGCCTCAGGGTGGTAAGGAGGAGGGGCGAGGGGTGCTGGCCCTTGGAGGGGAGCTGCTGGGTGGTCTGTGAGATCCAAAGAGGGGGGTGATCCCGGCCAGCCGGCAGAGAGAAGTGTGTGTGAAGACAGAGGGCCCTCTGTAACTATCATTGTGGGGAAACCCATCCTGCCGCCAGGGCTGGCAGAGGCCGGGAGGGAAGAGGCAGCATTGCCACAGGGGCCCAGGCCACAGGCCCCCTACTCAGGAAGGGCTGAGCTGGGAGATGCCGGGACTGGACATACTGTTCCTCCCCATGGAGCCTTGATGGCCCCGGGGCCCCCCAAACAGCGCAGTCACATCATTCCTCCTCCTCCCCCGGCTCTGTGGCAGGTGCTGTGCCCCTAGAGGCCAGCGAGGGGAGGTCGTGGGGACAGTACCGTCCTCACACTGAACCCGTGTTCTCCCGGGACCCACCCAGGCCCTCGGGCCCGTCCTCTCCCTCCTGCTCGGCCTCTGTATCGAGCTCCGTTTCAGCACAGCCCCCCGGCAGGGGTGGGCTAGGGAGATACTGGAGGAGCCGGCCTTCCCGCCTCATTTCTGCCAGCTCCTTGGCACAGCAGCTGGGCGTGTTGGTCTCGTAGGTGTCATGGAAGGTGTTGTAGTCCACCTCGTAGAAGCCCTTTTCCAAGGTGAGGACTGGTGTGAATCGGTGGCCCCAGAGCACCTCTGTATCCATGTAGGAGCTCCGTGCCTGGCAAGTCATACCTGGGGGGACAGAGGGCACAGGTGTGAGGACTAGCCACATCCATCATCCATCGTCCAGCCAGCATTTGTGCACCTCTACTTGTGCTGAGCACGTTGGAGATGTAAAGCCGAAGAAGGCACAGCCCTCGCCTTAGGAGAGCTCTCCGGGGGGGGGGGGGGGGGAGGCAGAAAAGTAGAAACCAACATGCAAGATTCTGCAGTAGGTTCCTAGAGACTGGGGCAGAAAATGCTGGAACAGACAGAGCCAGTGACATGCATTAAGGTCTAGAAGACTGAGCTACAAAAGAGGCAGGAAAAACGTCTGAACAAAGATAAATACAGAGTGAGTGAATGTTGAGAGACTGACAGGCAAGTAGGACACACAGGGATTGTTTGGGGGTAGACACATATGGGCAGAAGCCTCTCTCTCTCTCTCTCTCTCTCTCACTCACGCACACACACTCACACACCTTGGCTCCTCGACTGGCATGCTCCAATGCCTCCATTCCCTGTCTGCTCAGCCCTTGCATGCTTATGTTATTTTTAGGTGTCGCTTTTTCTCCAGGGAGGAGAGCAGCTTTGTTTATGGATGAGGAAGCCTCTGTGTTTGGGGTCACAGGAAAGCAGCTTTCTGATATTTAATGTTCCGGTGGCTTGCGCTCTTAACTGAAGGAGAAACCCTCTCCAGCTCACGGGGTCTCATGCACACCTAACCCAAGCGAAAGGCCGCTTCCCACCCATTTGTACTCCAGTGCTGGGTACCCCCAGTGCACCCCACACACCGTGGGCTTGCAGCCCGCTCTCTGCTCCTGGGGTGCTGCCTGGGCCGGGCCTTTCCATTCTGTCCTCCCCTGTCACGGCCCAGAAGAGGGGCAGAGGCCTGAGCTGGGCACTGACCAGCCTAGACCCGGGCCAGATGTCCGCAGGCTCGGGGGCCTTGGAGAAGACAGCGGTACAGGACGTCCACGGGGGCCTTTGGGCCGCATCTCCTGGGGCCCTCCCCTTGGGATGTGGCGGGGGCCACCCTGCAGCTAGAGAGCCCACCTGTGTCCCTCATCTGCAAGGAAAAGACGCCCTTCTAGGTGCCAGACACGGTGCTGTACATAGGACACTCGTGTAATCACTTCATCCCCCCCGGCCACCCTGTGAGACGGATGGCACTCGTTTTGCTGACAAGTTAACAACTTGCCCACACTCACGCAGGCTGGTTGTGGCAGAGCTGTGCCAGTCAAAAACCCGCCTGAATCCACGGCCCGTGCCTGGCTCCGAGAGTGTGGCGACTAAGACGTTAAAGTCACGGAGAGGAGAACAGGTGTGGGTGGGAGCTGTCCTCCCCTGGTCTCCCGGGGACTCCCTGTGCTCATGGGAGGGGAGGGGGTCAACCAGGTCGGGCAGGTCACCTGCAGGCCACTGACTCTGAAGGATACCCGAGGGGTGGAGAGCCAGTTTGGCTGGGTCGACACTTGATCCCTCCATGGCAGGTGGGAGCAAAGGCGTGAGGGCAGTGTAGGGCATAACTGTCCAATGTGTCTCCACCTCTCTGACCTGGCCCCTCCTTTGTGGTCCCAGAGTGGAGCTCCTCCTCCAGAAGCTCAGCCCCTGTTCGGATCCCCAACCCAGCACCGAGGGCGGTGTGGCCTGCAAGCCCCCCTCCCCCTGCTCTGCTGCAGGCTTCCTGCGTCCTGACTGTCCTTGGCCCCAGGGGCTCCCTCGGCTGCCACCATATGCTGTCTGGCCAGGCTCCAGCCCCCAGCAGATGGCCGAGCAGCACCCCCGCGCCCGTCCCTGGAGCCTGTTTGCACCCCCAGCCAGCTTCCCCAGGCTCCGTCCAAACGGGAAGGTTTGTGAATGCCCCGTCTGAGTTTCCCACCCAGCCACCAGCCTCCGAAAGGTGAGGAAGGCTTGTTTGGCCATCTTTGTGACAGGCCGCTGAAATTCTGGGAGGCGGTGTGGTGCGGCAGACAAAACTCTGGATCTGTAAGTGGAACACCTGACTATGAACACCTTCTGTCTGCACGAAGCTGTGCGATGCAGCATCAACGTCTGCTAGACGGGACTGGAGTGACCCTGGGGTGCTGTTGCGACTATTAGAAAACTACTTATCATTCCGAGCCTGAGTGCGTTTTCTCCGAGTGCTCCGTCTACTGGGTGAAAAGAAGAGAAAAGAAGGCAAGGAGAGGAAAAGAAAGAAGAAGCAGGGTGCAGGGTTCTGCCGGAGGGCTCCTCCACCAGGAGGTGTGGCAGGGGTGGTGGGAGTGGGGGCTCGTGCTCCCTGGAGCCCCCGCACAGAGGCCTTGGCCTTTGAGGAAGGGCTACCAGCTGCCTGTGAGGGTTCACAGCTGAGCAGGGAGGTGCCAGACTGGCCACGAAGAGGGCGTTTGCGTGGGGTGTAGATACCCTGTTTTCGGCTCGCCCTGTGTTCACTCAGCTGGCCTTCCGCAGGGAAGCTTATGGACAGGCTTCTCCAGAGGGGGGCCAGCCAGAAGAGCTGCTCCCATGGGCCTGGGGCATGGGCCTCTCTCCCAAAACAGGATCCTGTGACTTTGGGAATCCTTGTGTTTGGGAAATGCCACACCGGAGCCTCTTCTCGCAGAGCGACCCGCAGCACGGGGAGACACCGTCAAGTCCTGCTGTAAAGAAGCCAGGGCACCCTGTTTGACTGTATTTCTCCAAGTTCTCTGGTCACAGAACTCTGTTTGGGTAGGCATGTGCTCCAGGATGGGGTGGGGCAGCGTGGCCTGCTGAAAGCGAGGGCCAGCTTTGAGGCATCCTGGCTCTTTGACTGGCTCTTGGACAAAAAGTAGACCAATAGCCTGCCTGTCTGTGCCTCTGTTTCTTTATCTGTAACTTAAGGACCATCATCTCACAGGAGGTGGGAGGGCATTAAAGGCAATATGATACGTTGAAAGTTTAGAACTGCGTGGGGCAATCGGAGGGTTCAGTGAACATTAGCTGTTGTTACTCCCTCTTGAATACACCCCTCAGGTCACACCGTTAGAGACTGGGCTGGCTGAGTGTGCCATCCCAGGATTCTTAGGCACCAACCTCCACCTTCTAGTCCTGGTGACCTAAGCTCCCAGGCACGTTGGAAGGTTCTGTGGCCGAGGAAGATAAAGTGTCTTACCTGTTGCTTCCACCATCCCTTCTAGAATGACCACGACTTCAAACTCCTCCTGATCCAGCTGGGCCCGAGACATCTCCCAGAAAGGGCTCTTCTCATTTATCTCGTGGGAGATGATGAGCGGAGACACCAGGAAGAGACGGTCATCCCCAGTGTCGAAGCCCACGTTAATGTCCGTCTGGTTCAGGGGGATGAACTCCCCTTCTTTGGTCTGCCGGGACTTGATGAGTTTGGCGCGGATGGAGGCCTCCACAATGTGGGAGTTGCGAAGGTCACCCACCCGGAACATGAGGCAGAGCTTCTCGTCCCGCATGGAGATGACCGCGTTGTTGGAAAACATGAGGGTCTCTGCTCTCTTCTTTGGCTGACTGATCTTGACAAACATGCACCCCACCATGAATGCATTGACGATGGAGCCAAGGATGGCCTGGACCAAGAGGAGTATGATCCCCTCTGGACACTTCTCTGTGATCACCCGAAAGCCATACCCGATGGTGGTTTCAGTCTCAATGGAGAACAGGAAGGCAGACACAAAGCCACTGAGGTTTTCAACACAAGGAATCCAATCTTGGTCACCAACGTGGTCCAGATCACCTCGGATGTAGGCAATCAGCCACCAAATGAAACCAAAGAACAGCCAAGTGATGGTGTAGACCATCGTGAAGACAAGCAGGTTGAAGCGCCATTTGAGGTCCACCAGGGTGGTGAAGAGGTCGCTCAGGTACCTATAGGTTTCTTGGACGTTGCCATGGTGGACGTTGCACTTGCCACTCTTTTCCATGTAGCGCTGGCGGGGCTTCTTGCCTTCTGCCAGCAGACGGGTGCGGTCTGTGGCAATGGGGATGTAATCCCGGGCCTGTTTGGGAATCTTCTTAGGGTCCCTGGGAGTGACTCCAATCTCCATATCCTGGTTCATAGCATTCCTAGAATCGCCAGCCATAGCTGGGATGCGTGGAGTTAAAAAAGATATCATCAGTGAGGTGGACTATTCTGATTCACAGAAACACAGGCCTTCAAGGTCACCCTTGCTTCTGGGTTCTCAAAGGCCCCTCATCTGGTATACAGTAGACCCTACTGTGGCGTTCTCAAGGGCAGGGACCATGTTTTCTTATATTACCTGCTTGTATCCCTGGATCCCACTACAGGTTCTAGCATATAGTAGCAGCTCAATAGTTGCTTGCTGAAGGAAGGATGGAAGGAAGGAAGGAAGGAAGGGAGTAAGCGAGGGAAGTGGGAGGGAGGGAGGAAGGAATAGTTGTTTGTTGGATGAGTAAGTATGCAGGTGCAAACCGCACATCGTGTTGAAGGGATTTAAAGATATGTGGGAGCAATTTAAAAAATAAAATCACAACAATTTATTAAGTGCCTGCTACAGTCCATGCATTACACATGGACCGTCACTTGTTATCACGACAACTGGTTGGAGTTGGAGCGTGGGGTCTCACCGTTTGCTTAAGCGTCTATTTATTTCTAATAGTACCCCCCCCCATTAGAATGTAAGCTCCGCATGGGCACAGTTGTGTCTGTTTTGTTCCCTCATACATTCCAAATACCCAGAGGCTAGCCCAGAACATACTGTATCCTCAAAAAGTACTTATTGGATAAATGAATAAATAAATAAGAAAATAGAGTCCCAAAGCAGTAAGTGATTAAGTGCTACCTGGGCCACCAAACATGTATGTACGGGAGCTGATAATCTGGATTCTTGATCACTGGGCCCAAAGTCTGTGTTTTTTTCTTTTTATCTCCCTGTCTCCTCTCTTTTTGTCTCAGATCTCAGCAGCAGACAGAAAGGAAAAGGCAGTGGGTGTCGGATTCACCATGTGGTCACTCCTCCCGTCTGAGTGGGGAGTGCTGCCTGAGCACTTAGTAATATGACAAATTGAAGTGTAGACCCACCATTAAAAATCTTGACACAGTAATTCTGTGGCCTCCAAAAAACTGAAATGGACAGGACATTAATGCCCCTAAGGTTTTCAGAAGGGCTGCAAACTTTTATGTGGAATCAAAAAAGAATGCATGAAAACCAAACTCACAGATACAGAGAACAGATACAGGGGCAGCGAAATGGGTGAGGTGGTCAAAAGGTACAAACTTCTGGTTGGAAAATAAGTCCTGGGGATGTAATGTACAGCACGGCGGTTACAGTTAACAGAAAGATGCTAAGGGGGCGAGTCTTCAAAGTCTTTGTCACAAGAAAAACAATTGTAACTACATGTGGTGATGGATGTTAAGTAATTGTGGTGATCGTTTTGCAATGTATGCATCTATCAAACCATTGTGTTATACACCTGAAACGAATACAACGTTACATGCCAATTATCTCAGTAAAATATCTCAATATTTTACTCAAATATCTCAAAAAATAACTCTCAGAAAGGGCTGTGAAATGTTTTTGGAGGATATGCCATACTTTAAAGAAACATCTAGATACCTGTAATAGTCCGCTATTTTTCGGATATTCTGCCCCCTTGCATTTAAAATACTTTAAGGGGCATCTGGGTGGCACAGTTAAGCGTCTGACTCTTGGTTTTGGCTCAGGTCATGATCTCATGGTTTGTGAGTTTGGGCCCCACATCAGGCTCTGTTGCTGACGACATGAAGCTTTCTTGGGATTCTCTTTCCCCCTCTCCCTGCTCCTCCCCAGCTCCCTCTTTCTCTCTCTCTCTCTGTCTCTCTCTCTCTGCCTCTCTCTCTCTCAAAATAAAAAAATAAACTTAAAAAAAAAAACAACTACTTTAAGACTCTGCTGAAACTAGGAACGACCATGAGAATCTCTACAGTTAATAATCACAGCTTAAATTTCTGAGCATTCATGAACCAGGCCATGTGCTAAGAAATTTACATCCATTAGCTCATTTCTCACAACAAAGCTATTAGACAGGAACTGTTATTATCCCCCCAATTTTCAGGCAAGGACAATGAAACTCAGTTAAGTGGCTGTGTTAGGATTTGAATCTTGGTTTATTTAGCTCCAGCCTGGGGTCTCACAGGACCCACCATACAATGGCTTCTAGACATTGATGTTCTATGGCTCCTGCTTCAACTAATGAGCTGCCTAGTCTGGAAAGTTCTATGAGCTTCTGATCCTGGGGGAATTCACCTCAGGAGATGCTGTTACTCAGCCCTTCACCTTTACAAGTAAACTTGTCTGATTTCACAGGTGCTCCCCACCATTCCGAGGAAGCAGGGTCCCTGGTAGCAAATCCCAGATGCGTGTTCTATAAACCATGGAGGAAGAGTTCACCCATCACAAAAAAAGTCAGATGATCCTGGCAGACCTTTTTCTCTGCTGCCTTGGTGGTTGCAGCAATTTCAAGGTAACCTTTAAAATATCACATTGAAGGGTCATCAGGAAGGCTGTTTGTCTCAGACATCCGTTGGCCATTTCCCATTCTGCAGAGGGCCACCTGCTCCCTGCTCCCTCACATGGCAGTTACAAAGATAAATGAAACCAGGAGCGAAGTGCTTGGTGCTGCTTTGCAGAATCCCAAGCGTGATGTCACTCTGCCCCTTGGTAGGAGACTGTTTACTGACGACTCACTCAGAGATACCCAGAAACAATGAGAATTGCTGCTAATTCCAATGCCTTGTGTGCTCCTGGGGACTCCAGCTGTTGGAACCCAGAGAGGGGTCTAATAGGAGGGCTGTCCATGGACTCCCCATGCCACTGACTCTGGGCAAGGGCAGGTGCAGTGCTGGCAAGAATGAGTCACTGGCTAGGGCACCTGGGGAAGCACCTTCTCCTGCCCCAGCTCTTCCGGAGAAACAGCTTTTCTGCTGATTTTCTGCACTGTTTCCTTCTTTACTTTGAAACATACTTTTGTATGTTCTTGTAGGAGAAAGCCTTGCTCTGTACTAGAAACAGAGAAAGATTTTCTAGGACCCCTCAGTCAAGATCTGAGAATTCGTTGTGCTCAGCAGACAGGGAAAGGGTTTACTTGATATTGGCATCCGTTCTCCAAGTGTACTAAAATCATCTGCCAGAATCATTTTCTTGCTCAGCCCAGGTTGAGATCTGGGTTCTAGCCCAGCTTCCAAGAAACTTGTTCTGTGACCCAAGGAAAAACAGTGTTAACTTTCTTTGCCTCAGTTTACTCTGCTATGAACCCCAGATAATATTTTCCACCATTCCAGCTCTGGGGGCCATTATGGGGATCTAGGGAAAGACTATATGAAAACAAACAGAAGTGTGAATATAAATATAGGTCCATAAACTCTCCTTGAATTGAAATTTAATTCAATGTCCCATTAACCCTCACTTGAAGGATGAAGAAAGAGACACAGAGCATCTAAGTCAAGGGCCGGAGGGCCCCGGTGGGCCATCTGCTGGGCAAGGCACCACGCTCACAGGTATAGAACCTCTCCTACCCGGATTTCTTCCTAAGAGTAAGTGAAATGCCCATTCTGGAAATCTTGGCCTCCAATGCTATGGGCCCATAACATGAAAAGAATTTTTAGGGATGATGGAGATGAGCTTTTTGAATCAGATTTTCAAGATCTATTCTATTAACTCATGCACCCATTCAGCAAGCGTTAGTGGAGGAACCAGTCCAGCTTTTGTGCTAAGAGCTGGAGAGTAAGTAGTGAATGAGGTGATACAGACCCAGCCTCCATGCCCTTTAGAGTCTAGCACTGCCCCCTTTGAACCCAGGGGTCCGGGCCGGGGAGAGGCTTTGGACTGGAGGAGGCAAGCCAGTAAGAGAGCTGCTCTCTGCAGGACCAGGAAAGGCACTGACTTGAGCAAATCCCATTAAACCCCATCAGGCCTGGTGCCGCTACTCATCTGTAATCCTTTCCTGTGTCTGTGAGTAGGAAGCTGTGCCCAGACATGATTAAAACTCTTGGGAAAGACAGAGCCTGAAGTCCAGCAAAGTGGTGAAAACTCTTTGATATAAAAGCACAAACGGAGAAAGAATGAAAGGAGGCACAATCAAAGGAAGTTGTACTTAAAAAAAAATTTTTTTTTTAACATTTATTTTTGAGAGAGAAACAGACAGAGTGCGAGGGGGGGAGGGGCAGAGAGAGAGGGAGACACAGAATCCGAAACAGGCGCCAGGCTCCGAGCTGTCAACACAGAGCCCAATGCGGGACTCGAACTCACAAACTGTGAGTTTAGATGATGCCTGAGTGAATCTGACATTCTTTTAAAGGGGCCTCTGTATTAAGAATTCCCACCCCTCCCCCACTGGACACACACGGTAAACAAAGTCCTGTGTCATGGGGATGCTTTTTCTACAAAGTCAGGAGCCGTGGACACAGTACCTCGGTACAAGCTGCACTTGGAAGTCGTCAGGGTTTCCGGAAGGGAGCACTAGGCTGGGAGTCTTGTTTCAGACTGGTTCCCTACTGTGAAAAGGAGAAGAGCAGATATCCTTCACGATTTCTTCCTTTCTCTCTTACATATGCTGAGTCAGTGTCTTCCCGGAGATTTGAGATATGGGATGAGGCTGGAGGAGGGATCATGAAGAACATACTCCTACTTCAGGCTAAATATTTGTATACTGTTCTACATGAATCTCTGTGGCTATTACTGAAATATGAAAATGCTCCAAATGGTTGATGAATAGGCTGTCCCAATGCTCTTGAGGACCTTCAAGATTAGCAGGGAGTAGGGGCCCTGGGTGGCTCAGTCGGTTAAGTGTCGACTTCAGCTCAGGTCATAATCTCAAGGTTCGTGGGTTCAAGCCCCACGTCGGGCTCTGTGCTGACTGCTCAGAGCCTGGGGCCTGCTTCAGATTCTGTGCCTACACTCTCTTTGCCCCTGCCCCACTTGTGCTCTGTCTCTCTTTCTCTCAAAAATAAATAAACATCCAAAAAAAGAGAGAAAGATTAGCAGGGAGCATTAAAGGTGTTACCAATGGAGTATGTGCTGGGTATAGAGAAGGCACATGCAGGCGGGCAGAATTCTAAGATGCTCCCATTATTCCTGCCCCCCCCCATAGAAACTCCCTGTAATTCCCCCAGATCTGGGGAAGGGATACTCTCTCCCATGACACGCCACAGCTGACTTTAAGAAAGGGAGACCACCTGGGGTGAGCCAGACCTAATCAGGTAAGCCTGTAAAGGGACTGGGGCTTTTTCTGAAGCAGAAGCTTAGAGGCATGAGCAGAATTAGATGAGAGGGAGAGGCTCTTGGCTAGCTGTGAACATGGAGGGGGCCCAGTGGCAAGGAAAGTAGTGACCTCTGGGAGCTGACAGCAGCCCCTCGTGACAGCCAGCAAAGAAACAGGGACCTCGGTCCTAATAACCACCAAGAACTAAGTTCTGCCACAACCAGAGGAGCTTGAGTTCCAAAGGAGTGCGTAGCTTGCTGACACGTGGATTTCAGTCTTCTTAGACTCAGAGCGAAGAACACAGTCATGTCATGCTTGGACCTCTTACTTAACCCTAAGCCTAAAACTGGCTGTTGTTTTAAGCCATTTAGTCTACAGTCGTTTGTTGTGCAGAAAAAAATAAGACAAAACAAAACAAAACAAAAATAAACAAAACCAAAAAAACCCACTAACACAGACTAGAAGGGGGAACCAGGTAGTAAGTAGTTAGGAAAGCTGACCCTGGCATCAGATTACCCAGCTTCTGATCTGACCTGGAGCTGAGGGACTTTGGGGGAAGTTACTGCTCTGAGCCTCAGTTACTTTTTCTGCAAAATGGGGATGATGAGGGGACCAACCAGGGAGGGCTGCCGTGAAGACTGAATAAAGGTTGAGACCAGTACTTATTTTCCATCCAGGGTAGAGTTGGGGGGGTGGGGCAGGAGGGCTTCAAACAATTCAGGAGAAGAAAGAGCCAACAGCCCCTAGTGTCTACTGGGTGTCAGCATCATGCTTCCAGCAGCTTCTTTCACTCCACAGGGAGGCACGGTCTTTATTTTCCAAAGAGGGACACTGGGGGGGGAGCGTGAATAACTTGCCCAGTCACACAGCAACTGTGGAGAAGCTCTCTAGAACCCACAGTAGTTGTGCTGGATGAGTCATTGCTGCTTGGAAAGGAGCTCTCACCTCGCTCCCGTCTCTCTGGGGTCCCCAAGCGGCTAGGCCTGAAGAACTTTCTAAGAACTCTCTCGCCCGTGGCCCTTGCACGTAGAGGCAGAGGCTGTTCTGGGGCTCAGATATGGGTGGCTCACTCTTCTGCTCCTCTCTTCCTGGGTCCCGGTGAGCTGCCCTCCTGGGGCAAGAGCGGGACAAAGAGGGGGAGGGGAGGTGACCAGGACAGGGGAGCCCCAAGCACGAGCATGGCGGGGATCTGGGAATCCCTAGAGGGGGGGCCTGGAGCATGGGGTCGGGGTCCCCTGGCGTGTCCAGCATGACCCCGGCCACTCTCCCGTTGCTGGTCTCTTGGAATGAGACGCAGGGGGCTTTCCATGACCCTTCTTTTCTCAGCAGGCTGCCAGAGGACAAAAGGTTGGAAACTGCAGTTCTGGCCTCTGCCTTTATAGCTCCCTCGGGGCCACCCCGGGCTGCCCTTCCTGACCGACGCACAAGCAGCTGGAGAAGCTTGGGGGGGGGGCAGGGGAGAGCAAGACCGGCCCCGGCCCCTGGATGGGTGGGGCTGGCCCAAGAAATCCATGTCTGAGCCCTGCTTCCCCAAGGAGGGGGTCAGCGGCCCCAAACCCCCAGAGCCTGTGTCCAAACCACACTGATGGGCTGGCTGCTGCCAGGGGGCCAGTCCCGCTCTCCCAGCTTTCAAAATAACCATCCTTAAAAAAAAAAAAAGAAAAAAAGAAAAACTTCAGCGCATTCTGTGGTTTAATGGCAAAAGAGCACAGTAGTAATACATCTTTAAAAACCCATCAGGTATTTTATTTTAAAGCGCAATCATTTTGCAGCTATTTGTTCTTGTTCACTCAGATGGAAACCTATTCTTTAATTTAGTGTGTTGTGGTTTTATTTTTTGAACCTAAGTTCAAAAACGATCTGGGTGATAGCACGTGTGAGACTAGGCGTACAAGCCCATTGAAAACTGTAATGCGCAGATTCAGTCATTCATCCAATCCGTGAGACCTCCACTGACCCCCCTGCAGGCTTTAACTGTGCTGGGCCCTGGGGGTAGGAGGAGGTAGATGAGCACTTTACCACCTTTCTTGTGCTTTCTAGTCCCAGAGATCTTGTTAACATGCAGATTCTGATTCGGCTGGTCTGGGGTTCCCAGAGTCTGCATTTTATCAAGGAGCTTCCAGTCATGTTAATGCTGCTGATCCTCTCTTTTTTTAAAAAAAACCTTTTTTTAATGTTTATTTTATTTTTGAGAGGGAGAGAGAGAGACAGACAGAGTGTCAGCAGGGGAAGGACAAAGAGAGAGGGGAAACAGAATCCGATGCAGGCTCCAGGTTCTGAGCTGTCAGCACAGAGCCCGGCATGGGGCTGGAACTCATGAACCGTGAGATCATGACCTGAGCTGAAGTTGGACGCTTAACTGACTGAGCCACCCAGGCGCCCCTCTCTCTCTCTCTCTTTTTAATGTTTATTTATTTTGAGAGAGAGAGAGAGAGAGAGAGAGAGGGCACGTGAGTGAGGGTCAGAGAGAGTGAGAGAGAGTGAGAATTCCAAGCAAAGCTCCATGCTGTCAGCGCAGAGCCCGACTCAGGGCTTGGTCTCAGGAACCCTGAGATCCTAACCTAAGCGGGTATCCAGAGTCCCTTGTTCTTGGGTGGTCGCCTCCCCAGCTGAGCCACCCATGCGCCCCCTGCTGGTCCTCTTGGAGTTGCAAGACTTCCCTGCAGGCGCACATTGTAATCAGCCCGGAGCTGGACACCAGGCTGATGCCTACGTCCCGCCCCCAGAGAACCTGACCCCAGGGGATTCTAACAGCAACCAAGATTGAGGACCACTAGTGTCTTTTCTGCCCTCTAGGAGTCACGGCCTGCTGGGGAACACACGGCAAACAGTCAGGGTAGCAGAGAGTGATGGCCAGACCAAGAGACAGGTCTTAATTTGGCTTGGCCAGGGTGAGTGAGGAAGGGCCAGGAACGACTTGGTGAGGAAGGTACCCGGCAAGTGAGGTGGAGTGAGCTGCTCGCCATGAGACGCTGGTGGGCTAAGCACCTGTCATGAGCCATCTCTGTGCCAGGTGATGTTTACACACTGTCTCATTTCATATTCATAGATCTATTAAGCCTGCCTTAATTTACAGATGATTTAGTAACTTGCTGAACGTCACTGAGCTCTTAAGCGGCTGGACCGCGTGTGTCTGATTCTAAAACCTCTAAAAGCGGCTGCCGCTGCCTCTGAGGTTACTCGGCCTCGGCCCTCGGGGTTTGACCAGGCTCTCAGTGGCTCTGAGCCTCAGGGGGGACCCGACCCTGAAATATCTGGCCCAGGAGACTGCCAGATGGACACGCGCCTGGTCTGTGCCATGCAACCACTTCAGGATCTGCTGCTGGGCAGCCCCACGTCCCCAGGCTGCCCGGAGCCACCTTCCTTTCCCCCCCGAGGGGACTGTACCTTCCATCCACCCTCCTACTTGCCCTCAGAGGCCCCCTGCTCAGGCTTACAGCTGCTCCTTGACTTTTTCTAACAACGGCAACACTTGCCCCCACAGGTCCCTAACTGTTCCAAAGAGACGGGGGGAGGGGGGGTCCGTGTGTCCCAGCTGACACCTGTTCAGGTATAATCACCGAGCGCCCCTTCCACTCCCAGAAATGTCAGGGTTTGCACAACATGGCCCCATACAGGGAAGACACAACTTCCCGGCAGTCACCGATTCCTCTAAGAGTAAGTCTCCTGCCTCTAAGGTGTGTCTATTTCTGCCAGGAGTGGGGTGAATACCTTGCCATTCCTGAATTTCTTTTTTTTTTTTTTTTACGTTTATTTATTTTTGAGACAGAGAGAGACAGAGCATGAACGGGGGAGGGTCAGAGAGAGGGAGACACAGAATCTGAAACAGGCTCCAGGCTCCGAGCTGTCAGCACAGAGCCCGACGCGGGGCTCGAACTCACGGACTGTGAGATCATGACCTGAGCCGAAGTCGGCCGCCCAACCGACTGAACCACCCAGGCGCCCCACCATTCCTGAATTTCTTAGCTGAGTGGGGCGTGCAGCCTGCAGTAACCAGAACCCATGAGGCTGGTGCCAGACTCCGCGGTCCACGGAGCTCAGTGAGCGGAGGTGCTCGGCTGAATTCTTTCTGAGCTCACTGGCCACGTACAGATAATATACTTTCTGCCATTTTGCATTTGAATAGAAGCTCTCTTTAGGCCTTCACTTTCTTTTTTTAAATTTTTTTTTTTAACGTTTATTTATTTTTGGGACAGAGAGAGACCGAGCATGAACGGGGGAGGGGCAGAGAGAGAGGGAGACACAGAATCGGAAACAGGTTCCAGGCTCCGAGCCATCAGCCCAGAGCCCGAC